AGCTCATGTGGAGGTAATTGAGCATGGGGGCTGTGGGCTTTGAGTCAGGGTGACCTTTGACCCCTACCGCAGCCTCATCCAGAGCTCACCCAGACATAATTGAGCATGGGGGTCTGCAGGGTTTCAGTCAGGGGGACCCTTGAACCTTGACCCCCTAACCCTGCCCTGTCCCAAGCTCATGTGGAGGTAATTGAGCATGGGGGCTGTGGGCTTTGAGTCAGGGTGACCTTTGACCCCTACCGCAGCCTCATCCAGAGCTCACCCAGACATAATTGAGCATGGGGGTCTGCAGGGTTTCAGTCAGGGTGACCCTTGAACCTTCACCCCTAGCCCTGCCCTGTCTGGTACTCACCCGGATGTAATTGAGCATGGGGTCTGCGGATTTTGAGTCAGGGTGACCTGTGACCCTTGACCCCTCCCCCACCCCATCCCATGCTCACCCAGATGTAATTGAGCATGGGGGTTTTTGGGTTTGAGTGAGGATGACCTTTTACTCCGACACCACCCCCTTCATCAGCTCACCCAGACATAATTGAGCATGTGGGGCTGTGGGTTTGAGTCAGGGTGACCCTGAACACTTGACCCCTAGCCTCGACCTGTCCCAAGTTCACCCAGACATAATTGAGCATGGGTGGGTGTGGGGTTGGTGTTGGGGTGACCTTTGACCCTTGACTCCTACCCCCACCCCATCCTGAGCTCACCCAGATGTAACTGAGCATGGGAGGCTGTGGGGTTTTGAGTCAGGGTCACCCTTGACATGTGACCCCTAGCCCCACACCACCCTGAGCTCACCTAGATGTAATTAATTGAACATGGGGGGCTGAGACCTTTGAGTCAGGGTGACCCTTGACCCCTAGCCATGCCCTGTCCCAAGCTCATCTGGAGGTAATTGATTATGGGGGGCTGTGGGCTTTGAGTCAGGGTGGCCTTTGACCCCTACCCCAGCCTCATCCAGAGCTCACCCAGACATAATTGAGCTTGGGGGGCAGTGGGGTTTGAATCAGGGTGACCTTTGTCCTTTTACCCCTACCCTACCCCAGCCCTGTCCCAAGCTCACTCACTCGATGTAATTGATTATGGGGGGCTGTGGGGTTTGTGTCAGGACGATCTTTGACCCCCAGCCCAGTCCTGAGCTCACCCAGATGTAATTGAGCATGGGGTCTGTGGGCTTTGAGTCGGGATAACCTTTGATACTTTATCCCTAGCCTCATCCTGTTTCAAGCTCACCGAGGCATAGTTGAGTATGGGGAGCTGAGGGGTTGGTGTTGGGGTGACCTTTGACCCTTGGCTTCTACCCCCACCCCATCCTGAGCTCACTTGGATGTAACTGAGCGTGGGAGGCTGTGGGGTCTTGAGTCAGGGAGACCCTTGACATGTGACCCCTAGCTCCACGCCACCCTGAGCTCACCCGGATGTAGTTGAGCGTGGAGGGCTGCGGGGCTTGAGTTGGGGTGACCCTTGAACCTTGACCCCTACCCAAACCCTGTCCCATGCTCATGGAAATGTAATTGAGCATGGGGGGCTGTGGGCTTTGAGTCAGGGTGATGTTTGATTCCTACCCCAGTCCCGAGCTCACCCAGATGTAATTGAGCATGGGGGGCAGTGGGGTTTGAGTCAGGATGTCCTTTGACCCTTGACTCCTAGCCCCACCCTATCCCCAGCTCACCCAGATGTAATTGAGCATGGGTGGCTGTGGAGTTTGAGTCTGGGTGACCTTTGACCCTTGACCCCTACACCTACACCATCCTGAGGTCACTGAGATGTAATTGAGCATGGGGTCCTGTGGAGTTTGAGTCAAGGTGACCTTTGACCCCTACACCACCCCTGTCGTGAGCTCACCCAGGTATAACTGCGCATGGGGGCCTGTGGAGTTTGAGTCAGGGTGATCCTTGACCCTTGACTCCTACCCCAGCCCCATCCTGATTTTACCCAGATGTAATTGAGCATGGGGTCTGTGGGGTTTGTGTCGGGATGACCCTTGACCCCCACCCCCACCCTGTACCAACATCAGACTCTGTCCAGAAGGGCTAACTTGCTTCAGGTGAAAAATCTGGAGTGATGGGCAGCAGCTTTGCAGTGGCTGTGGTGGGTGTAGGCTTTCCAAACACCCTTTTTGAAGAATCTTAACTTCATAATACAAAAATACAGGAGTAGAAAATAAGTGGGGTTTTCTTAAAGGAAAAAATAACTATAATTTCTATTAATTTTGCTGGATATTCAGATGTTACAAATGTAGCTTCATAGAATCTTTGTTTTGGAAGGGACCTTTAAAGGCCATCTAGTCCAACTCCGGTGCAGTGGGCAAGGACATCTTCAACTAGATCGTGACCAGATAACCTCAAGATCGCAACCTTTATGACATCACTCTGCATTGGTGGCTCATGTCCAGCTTTTCATCCACCAGTACCTGCAAGTAATTCTCAGCAGGGCTGCTCTAAATCCCTTCATCCCCCAGCCTGTACTGATACCAGGGCTTGTCCCGACCCAGGTGCAGGACCCTGCACTTGGCCTTGTTGAACCTCATGAGGTTCACCTGGGCCCATTCCTCGAGCTTGTCCAGGTCTCTCTGGATGGAATCTCGTCCCTCAGGCGTGTCAACTGCACCACTTGGCTCGGTATCAACTGCAAACTTGCTGAGGGTACAACTCGATCGCACTGTCTGTGTCATTTACAAAGATATTAAACAGTACTGGTCACAATATAGGGCACTTAATAATGTGAACATGGAGGTTCTTCATTGTCTTGTTTACATTTTCCTGTGGTGTCATACTTAGCAAAAACCTGATGTTTGGGAGTATGGTGGGAGGCAGGGAATTGCTCTTGTGCTGCAGCTATGACCTTGAGTGCTTCAAACTCAAGCTTCTAGTTACTCTCAAAGTACTGTAAAACTTTTCTTATTCTTTATCAAAATTAATTTTAAGGCCCAGTTACCTATTTGTTGGATTCTCTGATTTTCTGGCTTCAGTCCCATAGATAACAGTGTGACTTCCTCAACTTAAGTGCCAGAAGCTTATTCTGTTAACATTTTTAATCCCTCATGAAAACTTGCATTTGTTTCTATAGCTGATACTGTCTTGTGTGTGTGTATAGACATATATAGTGGACTTCATGCATACTCCACTTCCAGAGTGGGTACTGCTGTAGGTGAATAAACATGAAGGCTTCTTTTGATATTTCAAATCTTAAAGAATGAAGGGAAAAAAAAGTGTGGTGAAAACAAACAGCCTCCCTAATTCAGGTCTGAGGAAGGGATGGGGAAATGATATGCATGATCATGAAAGTAAAAGGAGGCTTGTGACGGGGAATTGTCTGAGCTGCGAACCCAACTGCTCTGAAATTTTGGGTCTAAGAAGTGGTACATAAAATGCCATGAAAGGACTGGATAGCGTTGATCAGCAGAAATGAAAAAAACAAAACAAACAAACAAAAAAGTAAAAATAGTTGAGTGTAGAAGAGCCTCTGTGTGTTGCAGGCTCTCACTTGGGTGAGAGTGGTGTTACCCCGCAGGAGTGGGATTAGCTAGGGCTGGGTCTGCCATCTTGTGGCTGCAGTGCTAAAACACCCCAACATTAACTTTATTTCTACAGATGGGTTTTTTTGCGGTTTTTTTTTTTTTGCAAGCCTTTGTGCAGTCATCTCTAATGAGCATGACGTTAATTGCATCTGCTTGTGTGTAATCTTGCTAAAGCATCTTTTGAATTTGAGAGTCTTTCCTTTTAAAATTGTGTGCTGATTTTGCATTACTCCTATTTTGCTGAGAAGCATTGCTATTGTTTCTTGTAAGCATTATAGTGATTAAAAAATTAGTGAATATATTAATCTTTAACACTTTTGAATCTTGTTCTCAAGAATATTTATCTGATTTTCAGTAACTTCAGTTTAGTGCTGTGAATTGTGATTTTTTTACTTTTACAACAAGAAGTGTGAAAACTGAAGAAGAATGTGCTGTTGTCTTATTGAGCCTGAATCTGTCCATTCCTGTAAAACGTTCATGGTCTGATTAGAAACATCTAGAACTTCTATATGCTACTGCCATTACTAGAGAAATGTGGGTATCCCAGAGAGAAAAAGAATCAACTTCAAGGTGGAAGAACTTGTGTTACACATTTAAACACAGCTGCTTGCGTCATCTAAAGGCCAGCAGCCATTTCAGTTCCTGAGTATGATTTTCCTTTCCCCTGTTTTTGATGGTGGCCTGCTGTAGCATTATTTGTGAATAATTAATTCAGGCTGAAGAGTGTGGGTTTGTGTTTCTGGCATTACTTTACTTTTCTCATTTGAATTCTTTGTTTCCATATGCACAGCGTGTACTGTTTCAGTGATGGCGCAGACTATTGTTGGTGGGATAGATGGGACTTGGGTAACTTTCCTCAGATCTGTGGAACCTTGCCATTAGGTATGGTTCAAAGGGTGATGCAAAGCAGTTCAGTATGCTACAGCTTCTGCGTATTGAGGACTGGCTTATAGATAATGAACATCAATTTCCATTGAGAAGTTGGTCTGTTAATTGGAAATGGGCTATTTGCAGCCCAGTCAGTGGATCTGCACAATTTCCTGCATGGATAAAAGGCAATGAAGATAATGTACTTGTCTTCACCCTATGGAAAAATCCCTCTGATGGGAAAACTTATTACTTCCTATTAAGTTTCTCCTGAAGGTATGACATTTTTACAGTGGCTAGCTAAAGAGAAAACAAGAGGTACCTTTAACAAACACACAGTTTTGCCTTTCCGTGTATGCCTCTCAGACTTGTTTGATGTTCTGAATGTCCTCTATTTTTAGGTTTCTACAGCCCAAGCAAAATACTAAGCTATTGTAATATCAGATGCGAAAGCAGAACTAAGGAGTTGTCTTGGCTTAATTTACTCTAATATAAATCACAATGTTTCTGTTGGGTGTCTCTCAAGTCTAAGATTTAGGTTGAGCCTTGTTTTATTAGTCAGCAGTCTACTTTGTGGGCATATCTGGACTTTCTTACTACTTTCTCTGATTTATTCCAGCTATGCAAAAAAGGAAGCTGATCTTAATGGACTCCAACTCAGAATTCAAGAATTTCAAGCAGTCCTTCATTCTAAAGAAGTTGCACTATCCACAGCCCTTGATGATAAGAAAAATCTGGAGAGAAGAATTGATGATTTAAGAGTTGAGGTTGTACAGGTGAGAAGAAGAAATACTTAACCATCAAGCTTCTGTCAGCAAGTAATGTGTTTTATATATAATACGTCCATAGTAAGAGCTGTCCTTCTGGTAAAATGCAACTTTATAGCCAAAAAATGGATGCAACCCTGTCATCTAGTCACAACTAGAAGAAACTGTTGTGCACAGCCAACATTGGAAGCAGTATTGAGTAGGTGTCTGTTCCCAGTACTGTTCAGTTTATCAATAACATGAATGGTGGAATAGAGGGCTTTTAAAATTGCAGACACTCAAATTGCAAGTAATGGTACTTCTGTTGAAGAAAGAAGGTGAAGAATCAAAATAAACTTGACAAATTGCAGAGCTGTTCTGGGGGAGAGACTGATTTCACAAATACAGATAACAAATAACTGACAAGTAACAGTTTGTGATTCTCTCTGCCCTCTGTTTGGTTTTACCTGTGGTTTTCCATCTTCTGGGCATTTGATAGAACAGAGAAGAAAGAAGAAAGTCTTATGCTAGTTTTGTTAACCCTTTGAAACACGTTATTTGTGATCTTAAGCAACACCACCTCAGGAGGATGAGTTGAGTAGACCAGGAAATGGGTATTTTTTGCTATGTAGAAAACCTGAAGTTTTTTTAAGGAAAATGGGTAGCTAGCATTAAAATGCTACGAACCGATGTGAAATATCTAGAACTTACTTAGGCAAGCAATTGCAAAAGGGGTGGGGTGGGGAATACATTAGTGGTGTAAATACTGGTTTTGATTGTCAAATTCAACCATAACATGTAGTTAGCTGTACTTCTAGGTAGCTGAGGTCAGTGTGTTGTGTGAGTTCTACTATATAATCATTGTTGTGTTGATTCTTCTATTGCTTTTTCTTAAAGCTTCAAGCCTCTTCAACAGCTGCCAAGGAACAGCTTGCAAATGAAACCTTACTGAAGGTGGATCTTGAAAACCGTTGTCAACGTCTCACTGCGGACTTGGAATTTCATAAACATATGTATGAGGAGGTAGATGCTTTAGTCTAAGAATTAATGTTTTGAAAGGGAAGATGACAACTGGGGGCGGTGTCATTCTAGAATACAATTCATTCTAGAATAAAATAATTTAGGTTAGGAGGGACCTCAGGAAGTCACCTAGTCTGAACTGCCACTCAGAGCAGGGTTTACCTCTACTAACTAGAAGAATTCCAACTTTTTTTTTGTCCTAGGAAAAATGATTTTAACTCAGAAGTCTTGTGATAAAATAGCTTCATATATCATGTTGTTTCATTTTAAATTCTGCAAATGGTATTGCAATGTACATGTCTTTTCATAGTAATGAGAAAGTAGGTTAATAATTTATCCCATAATCCCTTTATGAGAAATAGAGAGGGACACTTAAACAGATGCTATGGGCTTGTACTGTTTTTTAATTTCAGAACTTTCTTATAGGGTGCTTTTGGATAAGAAGTTGATGAATATTTGTCTTCTAGAGTTTTTTTCTTGCCATCCTTCCTTTCACTTGTAGTACTTGAGGCTTTCCAGGAGAAACCTTAGAGCAGCTATAAATGTGCCCAACGATACTGTCTTTTGTTCCCTGTGCACATTTCCTTGCTGGTTGTATTTGCAGCTTTGTTCATGTTGTTGGAATCCTTTTTTTCAGAGACCACCGGCAAGCATACAAGTGGGGAAGATGCTGATTAGAGAAATTACCTGTTTAGTTCCTTTCTGCATCGCTATCCACTCAGCTGATAGTCTTCTATAACTTGATTTGTCTCATATTTGCTGAATGTTATTTTGTTTTTTCTGTTTTTCTTAGGAAATCAAAGAAGCAAGAAAGAAATATGAAACTCACGCAGGTGACCCTCGATCTGGGCATCAGTGTGAATGTGACTATAAACTGACCCAAGCCCTTCATGAGCTGAGAGCACAGCATGATGTACAAATGAAAATGTACAAAGAAGAGCTTACACAGAATTACAATGCCAAAGTGAGAACATCTTTTCAGAACATACAGTTGTCTGTACTTTATTTTTCTTTTATTTAATGTAAAGATACCTTATTTACCTGCATTTCAGAGGATTTTATTATGGAGCTTAGTTTAAAATTATCATGCTTTTGAATGTGAATTTGCATTTTCAGAGCTCATTTTGGGAGCAGATTTATTTGTCAGGAAGTACAATAATATAAGAGTATGAATAACTGTGTGAAGGTAAACTGTGGGGGGGGAAGTGATTAGCACTGGGATTACTGCGAATTCAAGGAAAGTTCATGTGTTGTTATATATCAACAGTAACATAGTTTTGATCAATAAGGTGTCCCATATTTTGTATAAAACTTATTTCATAATAGGACTTCCTGAGAAAAATGGCATCCTGAGTCCTCGGATCCTGTACAAAATACGTGGAAGTTTTACCACACCCAATGATTTCTGCTTTTCACTCTTCCAGAGAGAAGGCATACTTAAGCTGAAAACAGTTATGCTTCATAATTTCCTTCCTCTGCTATGATTCAGCATTTCTGTCTGAAGCATGCCTGTCAGGAGGGATCCTGATGTCTCAACTGAACCTGGTTTCTGTGTCTATACTTGTTGCAGTTAGTAGTTTTAAAAACAAGGTGGGATGTTATATCAGAAAAGTTGATACAAACTGAATTTATTGGCACAGTTTTCAGTCTTAACAGTGTGCAGTTGCTTATCTTCAGGGCTTCAATCTGAATTGGAAAAACTTATTTAAAAAAAGATCTAGCCAAAATTTTTTAAAAAATATTTTTAGTCAAAAAATCTTTTCGTAATTGTGGCTTTCTTGTTCCCTCTCTTCAGGTATACCGTTTCTATATTTTTGGACTCTTAATATAATTTTTTTCTTAGATTCCATTTCATCTGCAACTACAAGTTCAATAATAAGTCTGTGGTGCTGCTCAAGTGGTTTTGAATGATGTAGCCAGTTTAAAAGAATAAAATTATTTGAGCTTGAAGTTGTGATAGAATGAAGCAGTAGTGAGTAATGGCATTGGTGCTGTAATCAGAAGGCACATTACCAATTTGCTTATGTTAGCTGCAAATTAACATAAATTGGCTTGTTTTTAGAGAATCAGTAATTTTGGATTAGCTTCTATTTAAGCATACTCAAAAATAGTGCTGCAGTAATTAAATATTTAAAGCTAAATATTGACCAGCATTAAAAACTGAGCTTAGCAGGTCAACTTCAGTAATGTGTACAAGGGAAAATTTTAAATTTTTAATCCTAGAACAAATATTCAGAGGATTGTAATTTCAGGCAAGGCAATCCAGCGTGGTCATTGAGCCACCATATTTAATCCTAAAGAAAGCTATGTTTCATTGTGTTAGAGCTACAGAGAGGAACTTTGTGGCTTAGTGTTGTGTGTGGGTTTTAGCGACGCTTTTTTCTCTTTCAATAAAAGTTACTTTGAAACTGATGTCTTAACTTGATCTACTGCAGCTTGAGAGTGCTATATTGATCTCTGAGAGGAGAAGTTCTGCAGCCAAATCAGTAAGAGAAGAACTGAGTCAAAGTCAGGCGCAAATTGATAATCTGTCTTCCAATATCAACAGCCTTCAGAAAGAGGTAACAAACTGTTTGTGACTGTTCAGTTTTGCTAATTACAGCTGTTGACTTGATGAAAAGGACTTTCTTTCCCTTAACTTCTAAGTAGGTTCAGCATCATGACTTGAATTTGTCTTATGTTCTACTATTCTGTACTTGAAATCTCTTAATGTCTCCTTTCAACAAAGTTGAATTTTTTTGTGCAGTATCATGCTATAGAGTATTTGAAAGGGGGTACTGTTAACTGGCTTTTGCAGAAACTTTTGCGGATAGATGGGACAATTCTAGACAAGAGCTCTATATTAAAAGTTCTTCAAGTTCTAGGCAATCTATTTCTGTTCTGTAGTAATTGGACAGCCTAGCATAGAAGCAACATTCAAAGCCAGAGCTGGAATATGCAGTCTCTGTCTGTTTAGAATCATAGAATACTTTGAGTTGGAAGTGCCCTTTTAAGGTCGTCTAGTCCAACCCCCCTGCAATAAACAGGGGCATGTTTAACTAGATCAGGTTGCCCAGAGCCCTGTCCAACCTGACCTGGAATGTTTCCAGGATGGGGCATCTACCACCTCTCTGGATAACCTCTTCCAGTGTTCTACCACCCTCATTGTGAAAAATGTCTTCCTTGTTTACCTTGTAAACCTTCTCTTAGTTTAAAACCATTACCCCTTGTCCTATCGCAACAGGCCCTGCTAAAAACTCTGTCTCCATCTTTCCTATAGGCCCCCTTTAAGTACTGGAAGGCTGCAGTAAGGTCTCCCCAGAGCCTTCTCGTCTCCAGGCTGAACAACCCCAAGTCTCTCAGCCTGTCCTCAGAGGAGAGGTGTTCCATCCCTCTGATCATTTTTGTGGCCCTCCTCTGGACCCATTCCAACAGGTCCATGTCTCTTCTGTGCTGAGGGCTCCAGAGCTGGATGCAGCACTGCAGGTGGGGACTCACCAGAGCGGAGTAGACCGGCAGAATCACTTCCCTCAACCTGCTGTCCACGCTTCTTTGGATGCAGCCCATGATACAGTTGGTCTTCTGGCTTGTGAGCGCACATTGCCGACTCATGCTCAGCTTTTCATTCACCAGTACCCCCAAGTCCTCAGCAGGGCTGCTCTCGATCCCTTTATTCCCCTTATGTTAGTGTCTCTTTTCATCCTAGATCCAGTTTGCATCTAGAACTCTTAAAAAAAAAAAAATAAAAATTGAGTGATCTTCCCAGGATTAGGATGAAATATGAGACTGAGAAATACATCAAACAACTGAAATAACTGTACTTGAGCATTTGTAGAGCAGGGTCTTGAGCTGAAACTAATTATACTTATTGAGATCACGGGGCACATAGATCACACCACAAGAAGTATGACACAATCTGTGACAAACCATATGTTCAGTACTAGCTCATTTGGTGTTCCCTGCAGTGGAAAATCTAGAGTGAAAATGAGAAATGTTAGCAGTTGGTTCTGAAGTGGGCTTTTGTAACTTACTAATCAGTTGAAAATGCAACAAAACATTTTATTTTTTTAAAAAATATGAAATATTAGTGATATTTGGCTTTGATCCTTTCTGCAATACATTTGAATTGTATTCCTCCTGTACTGTAGACTCTTGTAGGACATGAAAATTCTGTGTCATTCAAGGGAAGAATATAAATGCAGGGGACATTATTTCATAATTTTCCAAATAATTTGGCAGATACTAGTATAAATCTTCCCAGATATTTTGTTATATAGGCAAGTTTGTCTCTGGAAAACATCAGGTGATGTAATGAATGTGCATGAGGTTACACAAGAATTGGATTATGAGTTTTATCTGCTCAGATCTAGTTAGTTGGCAGTGACAGCTAGATTCAGAGAACTAGCTTCTGAATTTGCAGATGTGTTGATTGTTAACTTCAGGGCTATCAAAATCAACTTCGCCAGTTTGACTGTAATTTTCCACGAAAAACCCTATTTTGCTTCTGTGGATTTTCTTTTTTCTTTTTGGTAGTGATAGTAATGTCTGACAGTAGAGTTGTTTTCCATTTTCTAGCACTAACTTTAGCTTTGTTCTCTTGGAAGAAGGCAACTTTCTTATCACTGATGCTGGTCTGGTTTGAGTTACCAACACTGAGCTCTGTAGTAGTTTCCACTAGGATCTTCCATGTAACACTT